GTTGGCCTCTCTTCACCTGTAGACTCCTGTTTGTCACAAATGGCTAGGGCGGTATGCTTGCACCTCAACAAAAAAAGGATTCGACTAATGCAAGTAGCTGCCAGGAGCTACTTTAGTGTAACAACTTTTTAACTTGTTGATTAACAAGCTTAAGATGTAATGAAATATTTTTTTCTATAATTTTATTTGTCATTTAAATAGATCCGAACAAATTAAAATGTTTTATATATTTATTTATGTTATAATTCTTTGTGTGCGTGTGTGAGGGGGGGGAGGGTTTATAAATATTGACATAATTACTTTATTGAAAGTTTGACAGTTGTTAACAAGGGGAGGGAGTGGGGGGGGGGCTAACATTGCGTTAAAATTGTTGACGTAATTAATGGACGCCCCCTAATGTTGGAACTAGACAACGCCACTTTCTAAGAGTTGCTTTCCACTCTTAAGTTTGTCTGTTTGTTTTTTTCATTAAATTTGTCTGTGCATTTTTTGAAAGAGTCCTTACCATTTTTTGTTTACGTTTCTAGTTGAATATCTGAACTCAAGGCTGCGTTCAAGAAACCCTTTCTCAAAGTACGGGATCATTTTTTTTTTTTTTAAACAAGATTTGACTTGATTTCTTAATGTTGAGTATAGAACTATATCCTTAGAGCAGTAGTTATTTCATTGAAATCAATTTTTGTTTACCCGAAATTGTTGTTGGGCACATCTTATATACTAGAATTTGCAACTCAAATGTCATCTACCTTGGATTTTCGCCAATAGCCGGAGCCGTCGCGTAACTTTCGGAGGCCACCTTCCACTTTTCGGTCTCTCTCTCTCTCCCCCCCCCCCTATTCAAAATNTCTCTCTCCCCCCCCCCCCTATTCAAAATTAATAATTTAATTTTTTTTAAATTGACATCATGACTTTGGGCATTTTAAATATTAAATGAGATTTCAAAGCACTTCAACTAGGATGAAGTTTGGGTGAAGGACTTTTACCATTACTTTACAAAGTTTACATGGTATTCCCACTTAACAACGGCACTTAAGGGTCGAGCTCATAATGGAGTTTTTGTGTGTAAATTTTCTTTTCACAAACGGTGTTGAGTCATAATGGCTCTAAATATACGATTTGCCAACAACTATGACGCCAATTAACAATGAAAAAAAAAAGATAATGGTTAATATTTCAATTAATGGAAAGTTGGAAGTAGTAATGCTATTTTACATCCTGACGGCAGTGCCGTCTTAAGGCATGTGCTCTTTGGGGTGTTTCTCCAGGGCCTCTCGCTTCTGGTAGCATCATACTGCACATAGTGGTAATGAATATTGTAAGATATTCTGGTAATTTAATGTGCTTTCAAACACATTTTTTTTTTTTTGTCTTCGATTTTTGAAAAGTTTTCTTTCTTTGGGTTCTTTTTAATTTCATTTTAAAAAATCCATTTGGAGGTGGCCGAATAGTGGGGGGAAAAAAATCACTAAGAAATTCATAACTTTTCTCATATAAGTGATAGAAAGATTATCTTGGTGTCATTGAAAAGCTTAGAGCCAGCTCTTTTCCAATGACATGGTCTTTGTATATGTCAGATGTATTTGAAAATTTGAGTTGGGGTGCCTAAGGTGGGTGTTAAAAATTCAATTAAAGATTCTTGCACTAGACGCCCTATGTTCATTAATAAATAATTTATCTAAAGACATTTATAGCAGTTTCAAAAAATTCTTTCAATTTAATTTACTACTTTTTTTTTAGAAATGTATATTTATACAAGAGATAATTATTAATCACAGTTGAAAAAATTTAAAGATGCTTTTTTAAAATATCTCATAGCGTCTCTTGATAAGTATGCAATTTAAATATAGTTTATGTTTAGAAATGAGCAGTTTTCAATGAGCACACATATAATATCTATATAAAATTATATCTACAAAACAGTATTTGTCTTTTGTTTGCGGGGGGGTGTGTGGTGTGGTGTGGTGGTTGTACCTGTAAAACTTGGAAATGTTTACATTTTTAATCAATGCTTAAAAGTAATTATCGTACTTATAGTTTTGTTTCATTTTCGTTTATGTATAAGATGAATTAGCAAGTCTTTGTTGTTGTTGTTGTTGTTGTTGTGACTACCACACTTTGAGAACGGGTTTTTGTAAAAATTCAATTAATAATAAAGTAGTTTAAACAATTGAATAGTTTGAATTTTAAAAAAAAAAAGATATATATAGCATTACACTTTAGAAACAACTAAAAATAAAGATTTGGAGCCTACACAACAAGGGCAAAGGAAATCCCACTCTGCCACTTGGAACTCGCCTGTTTCTCGTCGCTTACGTGTATAGAGTGATGCAAAACTGGTTTCAGGTATGCTACAAAATAAATCCCTGAAATTTGAATTCATCAAAAATTTTCTGGGGATGTCCTCACTGAGCATCCTTCCGAAACCATACCCTTAAACCGTTCAGCGCCCTCGATTTCTGCTCCCTTCCCGATCAAAATGAGAGTACGGCACCCTTTATCTGAAGAAAAAAAACAAAAAACACTGGATGTTAGTTGTAAGCATTAAAATGACTTTCTTGAACTGATAAAAATATGAGTTTCTTTTTGTTTGGTATTGGTGGACTATATATTCCAGGGGCGAAACTAAGCTGGGATCAAAAGCATACCACCAGGCGGCGCTAAAACCGGAATGAATTTGTGTTTATGTATAACGGATGGGTGGGGGCTGGCGTAGTCAGAGATGGCGTTGTTTATTATGCCTAATTTTTTGCACTCATAAGGATGCCCCCACCCCACTCTCCCGAAGTACAGAACCCCCCTTCTTCGGGATGAAATAATTATCTTAAAGACTGCTCGACCAATCTGCGGAGGGGGGATTTATAATCATTCAATTTTATTCAGATAAATCGCACATTAATAAATATATGATAAATTGATGGTGGGAAGATGATATCAGCTAGAAACTATGTCAGCTTTACTGGCCATAATCATAGTTATACCACAAACAATGATAGTTAGTAACTAAAAGTTAGTCTTTAACAACCTTTCAATTGATTCTGCATTATAAAATTTAAGTGTTAAAAGTTTTGTACTTGTTGATAAACAAGCTAAAGATGTAATGAAATGTTTTTCCTACAATTGTGTGTCATTAAAATAGATCAGCACAAAGTAAAATGTATTTATAAATATATCTATAATATAATTCCCCTTTTTTTTTTTGGGGGGGGGGCGGGGGTGTTAGAAAATGTTGACATAATTAATAGGGGGGGGGGAATTGAAAGTTTGACAGTTGTTGACAAGGGGAAGGAAGGAAGGGGGTCCTAAATGGCTTTAAAATTGTTGACGTTATTGATGGACGACCCCTGTAGGGTGACCATATCATGAACTGGAAAAAACGGGACACACCCTAGAGGGTTGTTTGGGGGGGGGGGGGGATTCCCCTCCAACTAAAGAGGGGGCCGGGGGCCTCCGCCGGAAATTGTTTATTGAAATATGCTCATTTGAACGATTTTGAAATCTTTTTAAATATACCTTTATTAAACCACGAAGCCCATCAGAAACGAAAACAATAATTTCGCAGTGAATACTTATTATACATATTTTACTCATATACAATACAACAAATTACATTTCTCTAGTCTATGATTTAAATTGAGGATATTTGGCTGTTGTCCCAGCCATTGTTAAAACCCCCTTCTTATATAATATGTGAAAATGGGATTGATTTTAGAAACGGGAAATTTAGGTGCCCCGAAAGACTTTTTCGGAACACCATTTTTAAGGGGCGTTTGGTCACCCTACAGTACTGGTGCCTTTTATCTACAAGAGTACTGGCTGTTAATAATTAAAATGACTTTTTGTTTTTGAAATGACAAAGTATTATTTTCCTTCATTTTGGTATAGGCCTACCTACAGTTTGACTATAGGCCTATTGATTCTAAAGGCAAAACTAAGCTGGGGCTAAAAGTATACCATCAGGGGGTGTCACAACCGGACTGAATTTATGCTTATATGTGGCGGAGGCACATGGATCAGTGCTGGCCCCGGGCATCATAACGCCTAATTTAGCCACTGATGGGCGCCCTCCCCCACCCGAACGCATGCAATACAAAACATTAAAAGGAACCCCCCCCCCCCCCCCCCAATTAAATTCTCCGAAAGAAACACTGGTCATAACGCATGGACCAAAAGCTTTTCATAACGTTACCGGTACTAGAATAGGTTTAAATAGGTTTAAATTAGAGAGGAATAAAGGCCTCAGTACATTACTTTGCCAAGGGTCCCCGTTGCTTTTAACATGACTCTGAATAAACGTTCAGGACCGACCCAGTCACAGCGCAAAATGGTGATTTTTCTTTTTATTTGTAGAGCTCTAATAAGGAAAAATATGAATTTGGCCAACATGGATCTCCGGATCCAGGCATTCCCCATGGTCACAAACGCATTTCGTCCACCCTACACAATCTCAGGAACAAATTTATTTAAAAACATTTCACAAATTGTTCACAATTTCAGACATCTGACCAGTGGCGTAGCGAGGGTGTTTGGCACCCGGGGACAAGATTCGCGCCCGGGGACAAGATCCATTTTTAGCGTCCCTTTTTCTTTTTTTCAACTCTCAAACCCATTTTTTCATCAATAAAATAATATCAAAGCACATTTTGGCGCCCCTAACTAGCTGGCGCCCGGGGACATCTGCCCCCACCACGCTACGCCTCTGCATCCGACCACTTATGACAACCAACATCGCATTACAACAATAAGGATGTTAATGTGGGATCTGGAACGCACTTCATTTTATTTAAGACTCCATATATTTTTTACATTATGCTGTACATTTAATTTGGTACATTATGATTTTAATTTAGCCATATATTATATTAATTAATTTTAAGTTCAACTTGATTCATTTGTGTCTACTTTCGATAATAGCTGATTGGCAGGTTATTTTGTCGAAGTTGAGCAGTAGTAACTTGTATTTAATTCTCATAGCACTGACAATGTACCTGGCATCTTCTGGCAAGTTTCTTCTGGCAACTCATAATTAAATGATAGCATCACTTCCGCCAAAATGGCGTATTTTATTCAATGTTATTTTCACTTTTACTGACAGTAATTTATTTACTGTTATAAAAAATTTTAAAGAGATAAATTCGTAAGTCATAACAAAAGTCGAGCAATTAACTTAACACCATGAATGCCATGATACATTATATAGTAATTTAGGTTCGATGAAATTTAAATCATGTTTAACAACTACAATAAGTCAATTGTCAATAGTCAATAATGACTAGGACTAGAGTTAGAGACTGGAGTCTACGTCAACGAGTACGAGTATATTTCAGTATAATTCAACGTCAACAGTTTATTTTTTTTAAACAACTTACTTACTTACGGCATTCAAAACTTTACACTCACTGACGACACTCGACATTGACGTTTGAGTCCAAGTCAAATCAGAGAAAAAAATGAATTTTATGTCAAGTCAATAATTGTTCAGATCATTTCTGACCTCTCCCTCCTCCTTTTCAACATTACAACAACACTGTGTCAAACTTTCAAGAACCCACTAATTCATCAAAATAATTATCATAAATTGTTTTCCATTCTATGCTTAGTTTAGGTTTAAGTTTAAGAAATAGGCGAAAGAGACAAATCTATCAAATTAATTATTAATAAAAAAAACTTCTTTCTCTATACTATAGTCTATAGCAGGGGTCTCCAAACTTTTCAGCCCCAGGGCCGCATTAACTATCAAACAGTAGTTCTGGGGCCGACTACACACTCTAGGTCCAAATAAAAAAGAATCGATGAATCAAAACATGGATCTCGTTTTTAATTATTTATGTATTAATCTTTCAGTCAGGTCTTATTTAATAACACATTGATACACGACACATGAACACCTGTTACTGTATTAGAGGGAATGGTGAAATTGTTTCCTGGATGCCAAAATAGCAGTGAGTTGCAGACATTGCTGGATTTAGATTTGATGTCCCTAAAATCAACAGTGACCTGAGATTATCATCGGACAAATTAGTTCTCAAATTGTTCTTTACGTATTTCGTACTTGAAAATGTTTGTTCACACAGGCATGTTGTTCCAAAGTTTGAAAGGTACTTCGATGCAAATGTTTTGAAATTAGGAAAGTCTTCCTGTCTTCCTTGGGCGAAAACTAGTTAAAAACCCCCGGTCCTTCTTTTAACTTGTCCCTTAGGAGGTCATTTGCTTGCAACTCAATGACCACCAGGTGCAGTTTACCTGGGAGACTGGCTACATCTGCTTCAAATGGGTTTTGAAAAGTGTCAATTCTTCCGCCTTTAAATCCAAGTCAGAAAACCGCTGCTGACACATCAGCTCGGGGTCTTTGATGATCTCGCATGCAAAATTACGTGGGGAACTCAACTGTTGCTTCAGCCATGAAGACCTTACACTGCTGAAAGTGTGTCAAGTTGTTGGCCTGTACTTGTTCCAAAAACAAGACAAATTTGGATCAGAAACTAGATTTTCCTCTCCTTGTAGTTTTAGATTCAGAAAATTTAAATGACCAGATATATCTGCAGCAAAGACCACTTTCCATGTCCACTCTTCATCAGACACTAATGGCTGTGGTTTGCCTTTACTTTCCAGGAAGTCACCTATTTCCTTTCTTAACTTAAATACTCTGCTCAGAACCTTCTCACAACTTAGCCATTGTATTGCTGTGTAATATGGTAAATATTGGGATTCTGTGACTGTATCTTCCAACAGGTCTCTGAACTGTCTATAGTTGAGCCCATCTGACCTTATTAAATACACTCTTTACCACAGGATTCAGTCACTGCTAATGTCCACATATTTAGTACACAAAGCTTTCTGCTGAATTATGCATTGCAGGAACGTTGGTTGCAGAATTTTCTTCTCATTACATATTTGCTTCACTTGTCCAACAAAGCCTTTCTTAATGCCACTCATGTTATTTCCTCCGTCAAAAGTCAGGCAACTGAGTTTAGTCAAGTCCAAGTTATAATCAGCAAATTTTTTTTTTCAACTCATTGAATATATCCTCTCTGGTAACATTGTCATACATGCTATTTAGGAAAGCCAGCTCTTGTGTCATGTTCATGTCTCCATCCACACCACTAACGAACACAAGCAGTTGAGAGGTGGAACAGCTGTCCAGCGATTCATACATTGCAATTAAAAATTGGCGAATCTTGCTTGCATTTTTCGCTATTTGAGTCACAATGTTTTCACCCATGTCTGCAACATGGCGGGAAAAGCTCCGCCACTAGATGGCGTTATATCATCTCATTGACTGTGAACGGAAGTAGAAAAACTAAGCAGCGAATAAGGTTTTGCCAAGTAATGATCGGTTAGAAAACATAACGCACTACTGCGCACCTTTATTTTCATTTGGTAAAAACATAACGTCCACGTAAGCGGCGTCTGATCTTGGCATGATACACGTAAATTTCCGTATTTTTTTTCCATAGAGAAAAAGGTCTCCATGGGCTGCATGAAAGATGCGGCCTGCGGGCCCCCTGGTCTATAGTATAAGCATAGACCCAACAAATTTTGAATTTGTAACAATGAACAACTAGAATTTATGACAAGGGAGTCAATAATTTTAGATTTCAGAATTTATTAAAGAATGGATAATCATAATGTCTAAATATTATTGAATTGTTGGTAAATTTTGCTGCTTTTTTTCTTCTCCATTTTTCATGTTGATAAGCCACATGTTCATCTTCTGCAATAGCACATATTATGTCATACATAGCAACCTAAGAATTTATCATTGACATATTAATATTATTATGGAACATGTTGACCTCATCCTTGTCTTGTTTAACCATTCAGCGCTTAAAATATCAGAATTTGTCATTTGTTCAATAATTGCCATCACCCATACATGCCAACCTGTTGGGATCAAAAACTCGACAAAAGTCTCCATAAACTGTAAAACAGTATAAAAACAATACAGAAAAAAAAGAAAATTTAAAAAAGTATAGTTTATAACTTTTTCATCATTTAATTATCAGTGTTTTGAATAGATGCAAGTTTGGCTTTTTGATTGACCTAATTTTAAAGAATGAAAAATTTGCTGCACATGCATTTTATTTAGCATGTTTACATTTGGAAAGTTGGCATCTTTTGTAAGGGCGATTTTTGTCAGATTTTTCTGTTTTTACAATGTTCTAAAACAGTTTTGTTATAAGTTGACTTAGATGATGAATTTGATTGCAATGTAAATTTAATTAGACATATACTTAGGTTAATAATGCTAGCCCAACTAATACAGGTTCCTGTTTAAGATTAACAGGGGAAATACATTTTGTTTGCCTCAATAAATTATTAAGTTTACCATCAATCTATAGCTGGTTTTTTTCACCATATAGGGGGGGAAAAGTCTTGTGGATAGTAACAGGCGCTATATGGATATAAGTTATGATTATTATTGTACAAATAATTTTGTAATCATGGTTTACTGCTCTGTTGAACAATGCTTTAGAACTATTAACTAATGGTCTCAACGAAATCGTGCTCAGTTTCTAAATTTAGATAGCCTACAAATCTCAGAATTTGGACCAAAGCTCATTATGAATAGACCAATAGAATTTCAGCTTCCTATTGACCAATTTATTGAACTGCCACTTAGACATTTAATATTGATATCTATATAATTTTTATTTTAAACATAATATTATTGTGAATTTCAATAGATAAACATCTAATGAATACTTTGGCTTTACCATCTGAATTAAAAATTAATGAAAGCTAAAAGTGTATTTTAAAGTAGTATGGTAAGAGAAAATTTTGACTTTGGAGGGACGGGGGCAAAAATTGTAAAATAGACCCTTGAGGGCCCTTTGCTTTTATAATATAATGACAATGCTACCTAGACATATTTTGTCGATAGAAAGCTTAGCTGATGTATTGTTTATTGGTATGGTCCACTAAAATGTCCAGACATAAACCTTGAAGGAACTCTTTTATTGAAACACTGGTTCTTTTTGGTCGACATTTGAATTTTTCATTTATCTGCAATTATCATATATCAGCTAATTTTAGATTTGACTCAGATTGCACAAAGGTTGAACAAATGATGAGCTATGTTTAGTATGATAATGCAGTAGGCCTACTTACATAATTATTATACGAAAAAGTGATACATGCACCCTTTTTTGTAGGCTTATGATTTAAATTAAAGGCTATTTTATGTCTAATTATTTAAAAATTGAAATAAATAATTACATTTTTTAAAATATTACTCAAGGTTGCATTATTTGCTTCCTTTACATACACATCTAATTATAATTTCATTTTTGGAAATATTGGACAAGTAGGTCATCATGCAGCTCTGAGCAGTGTTCACAGAGGATTAGTCAATTATCATACTATGAAAGTAAGACGTTGAGCAATATTGAATATCTGATAGCCGACAGACAGACATAGTGAGAGTCTGACTTTTGGTAGACTACTTAAAGCTTCAATCACTTTTGCCAAAAGAGAAAATAAACTGAAAAAAATTAATTTTCTGTTTCGGCCAAAACTACACCTGATCAAATGGCAGCTTTCAGCACAAAAATTCGGCCGGCCTCTAGGGGACTATATAGGGGCCCAGGCTAAGTCATGGCTTGTGAAATTATTTATAAAAATATTGACCTTAACATTAGGCCTTCTGCCTTTTTACCCCATCTGGGCCATAGGCTGTCCACAAGAATTTCCCACTCATCATGGTCCTGTGCTTTCTTTTCCAGTTACTTCCAGGTGTATCCCATATTTTGCGTGTCTGCCTCTAGCTCGTGTCTCCATGTATTCTTAGGCCTTCCTCTCTTTCTTTTTCCCTGTGGATTCCAGTTTAAACATTTTCTGGTGATACTATCTGGGGGTTTTCCGAGAGTATGCCCTATCCACCTCCATCTTTTCTTTATGATGTGTTCATCAATGGGCACCTGGTATGTACTTTCTGGTTTGTCGGTGATGGTATTTGGCCATTTTATGTTAGGATCTTTCTAAGTCATGTGTTTATGAAGGTCTGTACTTTCTGCGTAATGCTTGCTGTTGTTTTCCAAGTTTCTGCCCCATATAGGAGGACTGTTTTGACATTTGTGTTAAAGGTTCTGATATTGATTTGCAGCTTCAGCTCCTTCGACTCACATATTTTCTTCAATAGCAAAAATGCTGATCTAGCTTTTCCAATTCTAGGCCTTACATCCGCGTCGGATCCGCGATTTATGTCGATTATGCTGCCTAAGTATGTGAAGGACTCCACTTCCTCCAGTGCCTTTCCTGCCAGAGAGATATGCTCTTGGCCGGCTGAGTTTACCTTCATGATCTTTGTCTTGCTTTTATTTATATTGAGTCCGAGCTGTGCTGAAATGGTGGCTACGCCTTTCATCTTTTCCTGCTGGTTGTGGGACACAAGTGCAATGTCATCTACAAAGTCTAGGTCATTTAGTTGTTACCAGAGTGTCCACTGTATCCTATTCCTCTTTTTGTCTGTGGATTTTTTCATTATCCAGTCAATGGCGAGGATGAATAGGAAGGGGGACAAGAGATATCCTTGTCTGACTCCAGTTTCCACTTTAAAGCCCTGTGTGAGTCTACCTTCGTGGACCACCTTGCATGTCATTTCTTCCTAAGAACTCTGAATGATCCTGTCTATTTTCCCTGGTACTCCATAGTGCCGAAGAAGTTTGCACAAGATTTGTTGGTCCAGGCTATCAAAGGCCTTTTCTTAGTCTATAAAATTTATATATAGGGGGGAGTTCCATTCAATGGACTGTTATACAATGATTCTTAGTGTTGCAATTTGATCTGTGCATGATCTGTTTTGGTGGAAGCCATCCTGTTGATCCCGTAGCTGCATGTCGACCTGGTCTTTCATTCTATTCAAAATAATTCTGTTAAAGACCTTTCCTGGTACAGACAGTAATGAAATGAATATTTCTCTACCAAAAATACATAATTGAGTAGGCCTAATGCCTTAGCAAATAAAAATACATGCTTGCCTTAATTTAAATAGTTATTAGTAGACCAAATGAAATTAAAGATTAAATAAATAAACTTCCAGACACCTTTCATCTTCATCATCTGTCTGTTGTTTACTGCAACATTTCTGTTCTCAGGGTTGCCAATTGAACATAAATTTACTGATGGTCATTAAAACATTAGACAAATGTTACTTTTACTAAAATTACATAAGGAATTTAGTATGTCTTTATAAAAAATAAAAAATAGAAATTCTGCTTTGGCTTTTGTGGCTAATTGGTTTTATGTGTATACTTTTTTCTTTCACAGGTTAAAACATTTGCTGACAAGTTTTAGGATTATTGTTCCTGATTATTCTCTAAATCACCTTAGATAAACTTGGTGATTTCAAATTTCCAGTTTGTTGTCATATAAGTGCAATAAAAAATGTAACCAGTCATTTCAAATATTAGTTACTATAATGTATGTACTATATATTTATTAAAATTAAAAAGTAACTTAAAAAATACTATTTATAACGCAAGACCTTTCGAGTAAAGCACTGAACGCATAGGAATGGATGTAACCAAGAAATTTACAACCAAAGATGCAGAGATTGAGCACTGGAGGAATTTAGCAGAGAAATACAAACAAGAGTAAGTTAACACAGAGCCTCATGTCCCATACATGTATGTTTATTTTCCTGAGATTGGGACCATTAATTAAAACAAAAATTTAATGCTGTACTTAGCTCAAGGAAAATTCTATGTATCTCTGTACAACTAACCCTGAATGGAGCAACCTTATGTGCATGCAACAGAATCAAAAGTTACTTCACAGTAATCATACCTTATCCTTTGAATATTATTATATTGAACATTTAAAGAAGAAAATAAAATTAATTTCCATCATAAGTCTTAAATTAAAATTTGAAACATTTAGTGAAAAACTATGATTATTAAATAAATTAAGCCCTTCGAAGTAAATTCCTTTACCACCTGTTCATATTTTGAATCAGATTGAAGGAGACAAAAGAAGAGCTTGAGGAATTTCAGATCAGTAGCCAAGAGTTAGAGCAAGAACTAGAAACCCAACTCAAGCATGAAGAAAAGAAGAATAAAGAATTGACTTTAGCCAATGAAAGACTACAAAATGAGTGTGATTCTTTGAAGGTAAAGCTTATATTTTTTGCTTCTTAATTTGATGGGAGAACTTAAGTTGTTAAGATAATCCAATTAAAAGGAGCTTTTAGAAACTCTATGTTTAAAAGAAAAATGTATGTTATTTTCTAATAGATATTTAGTTATCATTTTGTGGTTATGTTTTGTGAATAGTAGGGGAAACTGTCAAACTTAAAATTTTACCATTTTCAATTGTTAAAAAAAAAAAAAGAGAGACATTTTTACAATGCTAAATTGAAGAATGTTCTGTTAACAGGACAAATTACAGAAGCTGCAGACTGACAGCCACAAGAAAATAACAGAGCTTGAAGATAACTTTGCCAAAGTTGAAGCTCATAAGAATGAGCTACAAAAGTACATAAGAGAATTGGAGCAGGACAATGATGATTTAGAAAGAGCAAAACGGTAAAATTCAAGTCTTAAACATTATATGATACCATTTTTTGGATAACTCTATTACACAATCACATTATGTTATTGTTTTCAGTTGTCCAGATAAAGCCATTTCATTATTGATCTGCATGTTCCATGTTATTCTAAAGTCACAGCTTCTTATAAAGAATTCAAGTTTATGTGTAAATACAATAATCTTTATTTCACTTTTTGACACATTTTAATCAAAGGACTTTCTCAGAGTAACAAATGTCATGGTGACGACTTGAGCATTTGTTTGGATTTTAAGCCTTGATCTAAATTAATTTACTTAATAAATAATTTTAAAATATTTTTCAGTGCAACTGTTGTTTCTTTAGAAGATTTTGAGCAAAGATTAAACTTGGTAAGAGAACCTATTCATTTGCAAAAACAATAACTTTTATTATTTGTTTAGTTTCAAATGTTTGCATTTATTCCAAATTTACTCTAAAAATGCTGCGTCCTAAACATATGTCATGTTTAGCATAATCATTGAGTACATTCATTTTAGATTAGCTCATTTTACAGGACTTTAACATTTTTTATAAGAATCTTGTTCCCTATTCAGGCAATAGAAAGGAATGCTTTCTTAGAAAGTGAGCTGGATGAAAAAGGTGCATTATGTGAAACTGTTCAGCGATTGAAGGATGAGGCTAGAGGTAAGTGTTTAGTTGCTGTTGTTATTGCAAGATGGGTTTAGTTGTACATTTTTTTTTTGCTGAGTTTGTTTAAAGTTTGAACAACCACAGATGAGATTGAGTCCATCATTCACTGAATACAGTAATGTCAACCTTCTACAATGTTTGTGATATGTGCAAATTAATGTTTGGCACTCACAATTTTAAATGTATTAGCATTGTCTTTATAACTGCTGGGTGGCCGAGCGTTGTAAACTGAGTCATTCAAAAGCTAGTGGACTGTAGTTCAATCACAGCCTAGATAAGCAAAAACATTACCAGCACCCCAGGTGGATGGCACTCGTTAACCTTGAATGGCAAAAAGAGAAGGCAAACTGTGAAATCAAACCCGGAGATGGAGTCCCTTGGGCAGTATGTATTGAAACAATGAAAATTCTGACAAAACCCTGCCACGCAGAACACTTATCAAGCACAATACTGGTCACCTACAGCATCCTGGTCTATTTCCAGTCATCTTGACAAGTGTTGCCATTGGATCAAAAGGCCAAAGATGAGAAAGTGAGGCTGACAAATTGAGCAACTCTCCCTCACTTTAAACAAAATACAGCTCAAGTCAAGCTCAAGTCTACTCAAATTGCCCTGAACAGCATAATTGAGAAGAAAAACTCTCATCTGCCAAAACAGCTCTTAATTTGTGTGAAATTTCACCATCTTTTAAAATTTGGTTTGTTATTTAGATACCGTATGATATATATTCAATTACCATTAGCGGGTTTTGTCTCCATGATACAATTGTCTTCTCAAAATGTCAAAAGTTTCTCTTAATTAATATTATCAATTTTATTGACATTTATTGTTGTTTTTTTTTCTTTCATTCTCTGTTCAGTATAATATACTATCTGATAATCTTTTTGCATCAGACTTAAAATCAGAAATAGATGTGAGAAAGCACCAAGACGTTGTGCTGAAAACCAGTGGTGATGGTTCGTTGAGCGTAGCAGGTTTGCCCATGCATGACAGTGGGTATGCAGCTCAAGGAAACACCCCGACAACTCCAACCACTCCTTTGGGCAGAGGTACTCAAATGATTGAGATCTCATTTATTTATAAAGGAAACATCTTTATTGATAACACTCTAAACTAATGGCTGTTAACATTTTAATGACAAGAATAAGGTCAATGTTGAAAGCCAGTGATTATTTTTTTTTATCTTTGGGGCATTAAAATATATTTGTAATATTAATTTTCTTTAAAACTTGAAACTAAATGCGTAGTTGAAGAAAAAAAAAACCTTGCTTAATTAAGTAAAATAAATAGCAACTTTTGATTAGCTTATGCACAGCTCAGTTATAAGATTCAATGTTTTTGATTGATGAATTTTTGTGATAATTACCTTAATTTATGAAAACTTTCATTTCCATTTCTGCTTTTCACATTGTCTGAATACCCCACTAATTTGTTACAGCTCCAGCCACACCTGGCATTAGCAACGGCACAGTGGGCACACCACTAACATCATCAGCCAGAATATCTGCCCTCAACATTGTTGGTGACTTACTGAGGAAAGTGGGGGTGAGCTCATTTAGAATGATCATTAGCATTTATTTTGTATAATAAATTTGGTTTGTTTTACAAGCAACATTTTGACTGTACTCAACTTCACCCAGCAAAATTTTGAGTTTTTTTTTGTCAGGTGAAATCATTTTAAAAATTCAGTGTTCTGAGTTTTCTTGAATTAAATCTTGAGTTTAAATATTTTTTTTCCCCATTTTTAATTTTAAGGTTTCTGAAAATCTTGAAAATTATTTTTAAAAAAGCAACTGATAGTTTTATTAAAAAAAAAAAAATTTCTACAGTACAGACCAATCCAAGTCTTGGTAGTGATCAAAAGTTTTTGCTAGTGTTAAGACCAGCCCAAGTTGTGCTATTGACCAAAAGCTTTTGATAGAGTAAAGATCAACCCATAGAGCACACTAATTGTTTCCCATTCAAGAATAAACAAAGCTTAATGTCATAATATTTTAAAAAAAGAATTCATTATTCAGTTTTCAGGAAAATGGCAGCGTAATTCAACTGAAATAAATTCTGATTGTCCACAAAAAGAACTTTCACACGACAGTTCGGTATAGTGATTTTTACAAAGTAATATTGCAAGTGCAGGCCATTCATTGCATCTTCCTGCATCTAAGAATGGCTATGAATTTTGATTACTTACTGCACTCTTGACCCCCTTAATCTTTTGCTAACTGGCTTATTTACATTGCAAGATCCTTTAAGATGCACAGTTACCTTGAACTTGAATGTTACGTTCGGTAAAAACTTAATTATCTAGTATACAACAAATGTAGGCACTCTGCGGTTGACTAGCAGTTGTCACAAGTGTATCTCCTTTTTTATGAATACAGTGTATTAAAATAAAGGAGCATAACATTTTTTAAATACTTTGGTCTGATTTAAAAAAAAAAAAAACAATTTTATTATAGAGAGGAAGGAATGTCTAAACAAGTTCACAGCTAGCAATAATTTTATTGAGTTATTTGCATACAATTTTATTCATAAAAAATATTCAAAACTCAAAAAGAAAAATTAATCAAAATTCAAAAAATGACCTTGTTTCCATTTATGATATAAGACAGACTACACAAAGCTGAGTTTGAAATTCTTAGGTTAATTTTCTCATGTGACCCGTGTAGCCATAAATGACATCTTCTACTTCACGTTAAATCCAAATAATGAAGTTTCCACTTAAATGCCAGAATTCCAACAACATGAAAGTTTTATAATTTAGTCTAATGCATGACTATGCTGCCTCTCTGATTGAGAAGTTATCTCAAAACTCGGTCAGTGTGACATGCATGTTTACTAAAAATTTACTGAGAAGCATGAGCACTCTGCTATAGATCAAATATTTGTTGACATTTCAACAGAGCAGAAGCCACATTTTGCAATCTTCCAAAATCACATAATTTTATTGAGTGAGATATGCATATTTTTAAAACTATTCTGTAGTCATATACTAAATTATGGAACAATCTTTACAGTATATTACCACTTTCAATGTAAGTAACTTAGGGTAAAAAAATGCTACTTCAGAATAAGGGTCCGCATTATACGTGCAACAGAATTTTTTTTCATTATCAGTGAACAACATATACTAATGCCAATGCAACCAAATATTCTTGGCCCACTTGCTATAGGCCCCCTAGTGGGCATCTTATCTGGTCATGCAATAAGTAATGTATTAGCACCCCTTTGAAGGGAAATTAGCATAGTTGTATATAATAATATAATTTAAAGAATTTTGACAATTTTATTAAAACTAAATATTTATTTTGTTAGTTCATATTGTATTGTTATGGACAAGATTAATATAATATTGCATTATATGTGGACATAGCATTTTATGGCTTTTTTAAAACAAAAAGTTAGGGGTTTGCAATATACGTGGATCGTATTATATGCGGTGGTATAATTATTAATTGTGATTTACAAATTGCTATCATTAATTTGTTGTATTTCATGCAATTTCTGTTATTATTTATCTAATTATTTGTGGTAATACAGAGTGTAGTTTTAGTACTTTTGGGATTCATGTGCATCATGTTAGTCTACTGGGTGAAGTTGATGCCAGCAGATTTAATGAGACCCCCACTTCGGGCCTCCCAATTATTATTTTTATGTGGCATACTGGCCAATAAATACAATTTTTATTTGAAAAGCTCCAATATTGAAGTTTGTTAACCAGTGAAAATATGTATATGCTAGGGTTTCTGAAAATAAGGTGTTTTACTCATTCAGAAAGTGAGGTATTGTTGTTATTTGTTTTAAATATGTCAAGATTTAACACAAAAGACTTATCTATTTGCATCAGGCTTTAGAGTCCAAATTGGCCAACTGTAGGAACTTCACAAAAGATGAACCACGCAATAAGACAGGCACCAGTCCTTTAAACTCACCAAGGTAGGTTTTTTTTCATATTTTCTTGATCCACTGTAATATTTGTTTTCATATAGCCTTTAACCTATCATCAATTATTACAAATGATTCCAACTTTTTAAAATCTTGTACTCTGATATTACTTGATATTCTTGACTGTTGAAAATACCCTCATAATTATAGTTTGTATAAATATAGTTGGTCTATTACCGTGCCAATTTAAATTTGTCAATTGAAGCTTCCATATAAAAATTCTTACAAATAGGTCAAAAATTGTTTCATTAGTTTAAAATTTAAAAAGGAAAACCTACAAATCACCAAATTGGATAATTTATGTCTGATATTTTTCTTTTCTTGAACTAAAGGTGATATTCATCAGAGGTAGCTTATTTTGTTTCTGTCCCATCTCCCAGTTGCATTTTGCTAACATTATATGCACTGTCCTATTATCACAGTTGATTGCCTGTATTTCCAGGTCTGATCTAATGGGTAGTAGGACTAAAAGGTGTCTCACTATAAACGCATGAGTGCATTGATACATAATATCGGGGCCTAATAGCAGAAGGTTGTTCTTTTTGGAATTTTCTGTGTCTTTAGGTTGGCTTTCTGTCTAAACATATACATAGATGAGTGTAGTCAATGTTGACAGTCGATGCTTTGTTTATTTCAAAATTTTAGTGCTTGAGATTTTTGTTTATTTTCAGGCATAGAGGTACTATTTAATGCAGTTCACTGTTATATTAAGAGCACATAGAAAGTTTGTAGGAATGGTAGGAATAATTCTTAGAGGTCATTGATGCATACAAGTTACAAGTTTTGAATAGAAATAGACTTAAAAGTCTTTCCTTGAAAATTATTTAACCCTTTCGATCCCTAAATGACTCCATGAAAAAGAAACAAATTTTTGTCTGTATGTCATAAAAAATGAAAATTAAGTGTATGAAAAGCTTCTCGTTACACCAAAATTTGACGCCATTTATAACTCATACTTTTAATTTAGTATTTTAAATTGCATGGGTTTACAGCATATTTGAAGATAAAATTATTGGCTCTTTATTAAAAAACTGCTTACTGTCCTAGTATTTCTAGCTAGTTCCTGTCTGAAAGCATGGCTCCTGACAAAGCCACAGCATCAAGTGGCAAAAGGGCTAGTAAAAATTTGATTGAGATAGGATTAATGATAGAAAATTAGAAAACTCCTTGTAATCAAAATATGGTTGAAAGAGAAAAAAATTCCGCCTCAGAATTGGACTGTGATTGAGATAAAAATACATGATGACTATTAAAGAGAAGAAAGGTAATTTCAAAAATGACTTAAAAGTTTAGTTGACTACTCATTGATATCAAGTAAAAGAAATTGCAAGCTAGAGGGGATCATTTATGTGAGAAATACTAATTTTAGTTCTATTGACTGCAAAAATAAGTAAAATTTATGTCAAATTGTGCTTTGGGAAAGGCTTTGAAATGGACCACTCTGATTTACTAGAAATAAGAAGATAACAAGCAGGTGCTCATCTCTTTTGTTTTAATTTAAAAAATTAATCAAGTGTTTCCGGTTTATACAAATAGTTTTCCCCAATTTACTTTCTAAAAAAAATTAAAAATACCTGTTGAGCTTGGCCTTTACCTTTGTTGACCATTGATAAAATTAAATAGTCGTATTCAATTATAGTTATAAAAAACGAAGGGAATCTTGTGATACGACCCTTAAAAGTCCTAGTTAGCATGGTATTTTCAGGCATGACAAACTCTTCATAGCACTTCATTATTTTAAAGTAAAAAAAACAGTTGGATCAAAAGGTTAATACATTTTTCAGTTGACATCTGCTATTTACTTTCTAGGATAAATGCTTTACGATAATTAATAATATACAGTGTTTGTTGCAGAACATGAAATGAAAGAAATAATTCAACTGCCTTGCAATCGTACCTTATATTCTATGTCACAAGCCGTCATAGTCTTAGAAATATATCATTCATTCTTGTTCAATGTTGAGAAAATACTTAACACTTCCCAAAATTTGTCATTAAGGTCATTATTTATTTACTTGTTATTCTTAATTGTCGCCAGCAATCAACCATTATTAATAACATTGTCACAACTCTGAATGTTTGTGCAAACTTTGTCAGCTTTCTTATGAGCTTTATTAATATTTAGAAATTCCAGCCTATTTCATTTTTATCAATTTTCGCCAACAACTAAAGTTGCAGTTCATTATCTGAATTTATTAGAGTAAATGTACTTCGAAATTATTTTCATAACTTAACGTAACTTCTGTGTTAGCTCATCATTAATATCATGTTGGCCTTTAACATTATTGAAAGTTAAAGTTGAAAGTTTTTTAAGTTAAACTTCCTTTCACACTTAAGTTATTTTTTAGACATAAATAAAATAAATTCTCTTCCTTCAAGCACTAGAGCAAGCATGACACTCACACACACACACAATATGGATATTGACATTGAAGAATAATACCGGGTAATGAAAGTAACAATATGGGAAATGTGTCCATTAAACACCTATCGGAAAACCTTGTTCTAGACGCTTGTAAAAAAAGAAAAAAGAAGAAGAAATATAACTTGTCAGCATATTGATTTCATTTCAAGCATTAATTTGATTAGATGTGTCCGTTTTCGGTATGTGGTTTCAAGAGTTATGTTCTCTTGTGATGGTTGAGGGCTGGAAGGTAATGCAGTGTAACATTAACCAACTGTTCATTGCCATTGTCAGAAAAGTGAGGAAAAAATGTCTATGACTAGAAGGTGGTGACCTGTGACGAAGTCTTGTTGGCTGTGGTAAGATGAGCTGGCACTGCCACAGGGTTAATGGTATTGTTAAGCTGTTGGTGGATTTTTTTTTTTTTTACATTGTGTTTTCGTTAAAGATAAGGAATTCATAGGCACAAAATGCTTAATGAAATGCACTAATAATTAAGGCACATATTTTAGTTTTTTAAGTGTCAAGAAAAAAAAATAGTAATGATTAAAATGTAATTGTCTTACAGCTCCCTTCATAAATAAAAGAACAGTCTTTGCCATTTAAATTTGTAATATGTTCAGTACTTTTATTATTATTTTGTATATTCTATCTACACTGTCCCCATCACTCATTTTCTTATGGCCCCACACCCTTTGCCCTTTCAAAAAAAAAAAAAAGTTAATAAGTATAAAATCAATTTCAATGTATTACAACAATGGGGATTTAATTTTGTTATTTTTAAAAAGTGGCCAGATTTTGGTGCTTGATTGTAATTCATTTCATTTGTGGTTTGCCCAAATTGCTTATCAACTAATTAACAGTGCATTTTGCTCAATTTTTTTTTTATTTGTTGTTGTTTACTTTTGTTTCATTATAATATTATGTTAGATTTTGGTCTTTATATTTTTGTTTCTCAGCTGTACACTCAACTTGTTAATTTAGTCCATGACATGGCTACTGGGAGTAATTACTACTGATTGACCCTTCTTTTTTAACCAAATGCAATGTGCTTTGTGTAGTCATAGTACATTTAGTACTAATCAATCTTAAATAAAGTTATGACCACTTTATTTTTAGTTTGTTTAAAAATATATCCAAGTAAAGCATACATAGAGAAAACAACAGTGTGCCCCTTGTATTAAAACATAAATTTATTAGCTGTTGAGTATGCTTTAATTTTAACTGATAACAAACCTAATTGATTTGTGTGAGACTTCATTTCATAGTCTTTTAATCCGCAAGATATTATATAAGGTTTGGCCTTTATTATTTCTAATAATCTTTAACAGGCTTTATATTATTGAGCTGACAAAAAGGAACTTTTGGAAAATGATAGTTGATACAAAGTTGTACATGTTTTTTGTCTCGTCTTCAGGAATCCGCTACTGAACAGAGGTTCATCACTGGTTGTCCAGCCAATTGTGAAGATGAAAGTCTAGACTTTTAATTTCCTGCTCCTACAACATCGTCTTGGATGGAAATAACTCATCACTAACAGGGCAAGTGGGACAGCAAGACAACCATTTCTACCATTTCCAGGACAAAAGTTCAACTCTTGACTGACACAGCCTCTCTACGTTTGGATAAATCTGATTCATTGCTATTTTATCAAATCTAAATGAATCTGATTCATTGCTATTTTATCAAATCTAAATGAAGGAGCTATGAAACACCCAGCCTTGCCGGCCATTCAGTCCAATTAATTCCAGGCCCGTGAATGCCAATTCATTGCTATACAAGTGTCACACATGCCCATTGATTGCATCCAATCTGTTATTCATTTGACTTGCTGCAGAATGTTGTTTAGGTTGTAGATGTATGCGTCACAAGTCAGTTCTGAGAAATCAATCCATAAAGAGGCCAGCTTGTCTGCTCAGCATCATGTGTACACTTGTTTGAATTATTTATAGTGTACTTTATTGCAGCAGACAGGTGGAAGCTGGTGAATGTTAGCATAAATACAGATTATGGAAAGTTAGAATTTAATTTAAAAAAAATTATACACACTAGGGAAGCTAGGATTTAATAACATGTATACAGATTAGATAGGTGTGCAGTGTGACTCAGCACAGCAACATCACTTGAATACAGAATCAGGAGATTTCCACAATTGAATTTATTATTTAGGTCATGGGATAAGCTGTTGATAATCCCTGTCTTTTAAAAAAAAAAAAAAAGAATAACCTTGCGTTGTGTTAGATTTGAAGCTTGACAAATGAATCAAAGAATGTAACCGAGTTGTTAGACTACTCCTTTGTTTAAAAAAAAATGATTGTGTGGCTTGTGTCACTGTGACCTTACAATTGGTCTATCGTGTGGCTTGTGTGACTGTGACCTTACAATTGGTCTATCCTGTGTCTTAACTACTATCATCTTTTCACGTCTGCTGGGGTATCCTGAAGTTTCTCATATAATGAAAATGGCAGACTTCTGGCACAAGTCTTCTGTATTATATATATGATTTTACCTTCCGATCCAAACCTCATCATTCATTGATATTTTGTATACATGTACATGATGTAAAGTTGTATATATGGCATCCTTCCGTCTTCGCGAGACGATGGAGTAGCTATGTAGTCCTACACTTCGACGAGTGGCTCACTAGGCCAATCCTAGATTGACAAAGTTGCATACATGTACATAAAAGCCCATACTGTTGGATGAGGCAAGTCGATGTTTATATTTAAATATCATGTAAGGCTAATCCTTTTTTAAAATTTAACTGGCTTTGGTTGGTTTTTTTCATTGCCTAGTCATACAGAATCAATGAAGCAATTTTAGATGTGCTGTATGGGGCCTAGGCTAGTGCAATGGATTCACAATAAAGTAGATCTCTGTGACTCCAAGTGTGTGCTGAGTTGATGTTATGTATTTTGGTCACTTGTCACTGCTAGAGTATGTTCTTGTAGTAGGAAATGCTAATGATAAGATCTACTAATAACCTTGCCTGGCAGCATTACTTTACTCTCATGTGCACACACATTTGCTCCCTATGCTGTTCATAAATTAATTGGATATCTGAGATATATGTCATCAACTATGCATACTGTCAAGTATGTACTCATTTATATCAAAGGTTAAAAAATATGGAACTTACTTCAAAACATGCTGTATTGATCTACGTATAGGTCTGCCATTTTCCCACAAATGTAAATCTAGGGCTGTGGCCTACATTCAGGATGTTGCAAAAAAGCTTTTAAAAAGTAATTACATTTTGTTGTTGTTTAAAAGGAGCACCAAACTTTAAGGGTGCGTCTTAGAATCAGGAGGAGGAGGACAAATATAAAAAATAAAAACTTAGCTAAAAGTAATTATAATCTGGAGGGGCATATACTTGGAACAGTACTATGGGTGGAACATATTATATATACTCACTGAAAATATTCTGTGCTTCATTGGTGAAGAGCTGTCTGGTCCGTAGAAAATGAAATAAAATTGTTCCTCATGAGTTTTGCCTGTTTCATTCATAGTGGGTTATTTTTTTATGTTGATCTTCAACTTTCCAGTGATAAGTGCTCTAAAACGCAGCTCATTGATTGCACTACAGTTAGCCCTGAAAAATGTCATAGCTTCAGACTGACTCACGGATGTCAAGCTGTTCCTGTTCAACTCATTAACTACCAAATAAAACAATATGCCGCAGTGGAGTTACTTTGGTAGCTTATCTTTCTTAGGTTGGAGATTGTATAATCTTTTTAAATTTTATCATTTGAACAAATTAATTATCATTTGAACAAATTAATTATCATTTGAACAAATTAATTATCATTTTGGGCTCAAAAGTACCCCCAAAGAATTGTAATTAATGGACAATGCAATTTTTTTTTTTAATTTATGAACACTGAAATTTTGCTCCAATTCATTTGTTTAAATGTACTATTTAATTACTAATTCTTATATTTCCCTCGTAGGACATACATTATCATTTTTTAAATCTAGTCATAATTTCTTTTTAAAATAAAAATGCATCATTTTAAACCAATGAATAAAATGTATACATGTATACACTAACAGATATTGGTTGGTATGGGGGGAAACTCTTCAAATTCTAAAGTAGTAACTCTGTTTTCTCTCAGCTATATAGGGTGTCTCAACTGTTGTTAGCTGTTCATGGTAGTTAATGAGTTGTGAAGAAGATTAAGAGTTGTTGATTATGTTGGACTGGATCAGTCAACATAGAGAATTATTGCTTGTGTTGGACTGGATCAGTCAACATAGAGAATTATTGCTTGTGTTGGACTGGATCAGTCAACATAGAGAATTATTGCTTGTGTTGGACTGGATCAGTCAACACAACATTGAAAGTTAGAAGTGTCTTTCATTATTTGTAAACAATCTTTATGGGTAAATATTAGTGTTTTAAATACATAACACAAACCGTTCTTGACCATGTACAGTATGTGCCCTTGTTAAAATATGTTCTCTCATTTTTTTTTGCTTGTCTCATTCTTATTTATGCCCAAAATTAATCTACTTTATAATCATTAAATCCATTCTATGCACACACTTGTAAAAAGTCTATTGGCTAGGGTACAGTTTTATGTAAATCCTGCAAACAACTCATCAAGAACTTAAATTAACTTTCAAAGTATGCCAAGATCGTTGGGACAATATGGTAAGGCTTAAAAACTGCATAGCCGTGTTACCGTCTCAATGAGTTGTTGATAGAAAACCTTCCGATTGCTCTTTCTATGATGGTTCACCTAATTAAATCTGAGGCAAGCACTGGAAAACAGATGCATCCTGCTCTGTGACATGCATTTAAATACCGTCTTTCACTACGGTAAGCTAGTCACTTGTGCATTTATCTATGTACCACAACATTTCTCACGCCAGCTGATGTGCCAGGTTAGTTTAGTGCTCAACACTATGCCAGTGATCTCTCATCAAATAATCAATTAGGCTTTTTTTTTTGGTTTAATTTTTTTTTTTAAATACCAGTTGCAAATTGTGTATCTTGATTTGAAATTAATTGTTACACAGCTTTTTGTTATCTCTCCAGAAATTTAGCACTAAGTAGGGTCTAGCCAATTTACAGGCAGGTAACAAGTTTATTTTTCATTTACTTTACAGTCACTTTTTCCTCTTACTTCCCTGACAGAAATGTAACTTATTTGATCGAAATGGTGGCCTATGTTTTTTGTAACATTGTTTAGCTCACAGCTTTGTTATTTCCAGTGCAGTAACAGACCGGTAAAAATTTGCTCAAATTGGCAATGGATTTTGTCTGCTGGCTCATTTATCTTAGTTTTACATACTGATATTGCAATTTTTTGGCACATCATTTTAGTTGTACCGGTAACTTAAAAAAACAACAACCTGACCTACCATTTATCCCTAATTGATTGGATCCAGTCACAGGTATTTCAAGTTGTTTGGTTGCATATCATTTGTAGTAAGGAAATTTTTACTGAACTGTCTATGCCTGGAGAGCCTTTGTTTGTGGCCTATGCCCCAGACAGGACGACAGGCGATGATAATGATGTCTAGGCAGACTACATAGTTGAATCAGTAAGCATGTCCCGTACTTGTTTTGCCATCAGGAAGATTTTAAAATTATTTTTAGGATCAGTTCCATTGTTGATTCTTCAAAGAATCCAGTCATGTGGAACAGTCATCACAATTTAATGAGTTGAGTGGTTTCATGAAATCTATATTTCATCCCATTCCATGATAGCATTGGCTGTTGAAACTCTTTGAGAGATACCGTGTGGAAATCTCTGGTAAATTCATGTCACTATGTCTAATTGGAGATGACATGTCACCTATGCCTTATTAGTGATGACGGGTCACTATGTCTCATTAGTGATGACATCTCACCATGTCTTATTAGTGATGACATCTCACCATGTCTTATTAGTGATGACATCTGATAGAAACCATGGAGAGATGGAGTGACTTGAAATGTAGGTATTAATGCTATTCCTTGATTCATAGCACAAAATATGAAGTCAGTCAATTTTAACACCTAGCTTTTTTCTCTCAATAATTGTTTAGTCAACTAACTACCCCCAAGCTGCTGGCATAGGTCATAGGTCATTACAATTACAATGATGTGTATTTCCATTCATGCTTATATTTTTTCAAGTCATATTTATCATCATCTCTTAATTGGACTTGTACATTTTTTTTTTTTTTCATTTCTTATACAAATTTCCCCCTTTCTTCTTGTTAAATTTTAATTGATCATTTAAAACATTTTAGATAAAATAATGGAAATAAAATGTTTGAGCTGGATTGTCCTGAGGCAAGTAAGAGATTTTTTAATCAATGGGTTTAATTTCTCTTGTAAAGTTTCAATGACCTTTTAATATAATGGCTATTTGAAACTTACAGTATTTTCAATTTGTTTGTTGTGTTGGTCTGGGGATTTTTGGGGGTTTTCTACATCCCTATTTTTAATGTTGACACATTCATTTTCCACTAGCTTTATTTGTTCAACTATCTTGAACTGTAAGCTATCATGAATTGTAAGAGGTCATTCTCTAAGCTCATCAAATCAAACCTGCTTCAAGTCCCTGTGAGGCAGACTTTAGGCAGTGTCATGTCTGTGAATAGACAAATGTCTGTCTTTCCAATAGAAATCTTTTATGACTTATTTTATTGAAACCTTTTTTCTAATCTGTTGATGCTTCTTTGCTCTCAAGGTGTCAACTTAGGGATGAAATAAAGCCAAAGACAGAAGTCATCTGATAGGATGAACATTAACTCTTTTTTTGGGTGGTTGGGGATGGTTTTAAGAAGAGACACATATTACTGTCAACCATCACATGAAGTCTCAAATATGCAGTCTGATTACACCCTTTAGACCAGTGGTTCTCAAGCTTCTAAATGCAGCGACCCTTTAATACCGTTTCTCATGTTGTGACCCCCAACCATAAAATTATTTTCGTTGCTACTTCATAAATATGTGTTTTCCGATTGTCTTAGGCAACCCCTGTTTAAGGATCATTTGACCCCCAAAGGGGTTGAGAACCGCTGCTTTAGACTAATAACTAAAATTCTTTGAAGCCACTTAAGTATTTTAAACAAATTTCTGCTGTTTAAGACCCATGTGGCACCCATTTAAATTACTGTTTTACAAGATTAGATGCATCTAATCTAACATTGTAAGTGAAAGTGTCAGAGACACTTTTTCACATCCTTTTTTAATATTTGTATTCCTGTCTGAAAAATTGTGCACAGCACTAAAAAGCTGGTGTGTTAATTGAAATCAAATGTTGGTTTCTCCTATGAAATTACTCAATCAAACCCAAACAAAATGGCTAACCCTGGCATATATCCCAGAATGCTGCATTCAGGTCTATAGTGTTATATATTGAAGTACTTTTATAAGCTAGCTAGACATAAATTCTGATTGCAATAATATGATATGCTCGTATCTGTTTTCCAGATTATTTGAAATTTTATTGCACATACATTTTAAAATACAATAACATGTACAGTTAACATATTTTTAGCTTCTATGGTTTTAAATAATTTCATTCATTAATAAAAAAAATGTAATATGTATCATTGCATTGACTTTCAATATAGTGTTGAAGTGGAGGGTGAGACTTGGACATTTCTTTTTTTTTTAAATAGTTTAAAATGCTGACTCATTATTGGTGTTAGTGTTAGACTTGAAGTCTAAAGACATAAAGGAAATGGTCAACCCACTGTGCAGAGTGCACACACAGATTAAAGGGTGAACTGTTGACCTTTGATGATTCACTGTACTTTTGAATCCTACCCTGTCTCTATGTGCATAATTGTACTTATGAATCCTGCCCCATCTATATGTACATAATTGTACTTATAATCCTACCCCAGTCTCCATGTACATAATTGTACTTATGAATCCTACCCCAGTCTCCATGTACATAATTGTACTTATTATGCATCCTACCCCAGTCTCCATGTACATAATTGTTACATATGAATCCTACCCCAGTCTCCATGGACATAATTGTACTTATTATGAATCCTACCCCAGTCTCCATGTACATAATTGTTACATATGAATCCTACCCCAGTCTCCATGGACATAATTGTACTTATTATGAATCCTACCCCAGTCTCCATGTATGTAACAGTGTGATAAATCACTTCATGAACTAAACTCTTGCTAGTCTAATGAATTAACTGGGATTTTCTTGCATGGTACCAACACTAATAACAGAGTGCTTCAAAATTTTCTTGGTCAGTGTTCCTCAAACTGAGGCCTGCTGACCCTTGAGGTGGAAATATAATATTATTTTGCTACCTTGAATTAAATGTTTAAGTGAATAGGGATTGAGTGAAAATATTTCAAGAGCAGTTAGGATGTGGGGCATTGTGCATGAATAAAATTCTAGACAGCGAATCACAAGACCAAAAGAACATTCACACAGGTAGAGACAGCAAAAAGTCTAAAATCTCAGAAAATGAGGTCTCTATCAGTAGCAGTGCCCCTACTCATTTCTTCAAGTTCAAGTTAAAATGAACAGAAAATATGCCAACACTTAGCGTTAAAATTAAATGACCCTCTTCAATTAAACGTACACAAACACATTTTACAAAACAAAAATGAAATCATGCCACAGCCAAATTGAACAAGATAATTCAAGTTTTGTAAAGATGAGAAGTTATGTCTTGTTTATGGTTGGTCTTGTATTTTGTGAAATGAACAGGAATCCAAAATAACATGTCTGACCTGGTGAAGAAATGTTTAAAAACAGTGGGTGTTGCCATTCAAAATTTTAAAAAATCCCCATATTTAGTAACAAATTTCCCCATAGGTAACATGTGATCATTTCATACAAATCGTAAATATACTCTTCCAGAATCGGTTCAAGCTTGAAAAGGGGCACAGGCCCTGAATGACAACTCTTACAGAATGGGTTCAAGGTTGCAAGGGGTGGGGTGTTTGCAGGCCCTGGGTGTCAACACTTCCAGAATCTGTTCAAGGTTGCAAACGGTAAGGGGTAGGTATGGGAAAGGGGGCAACCATGGGTGCCTATTTCAAGGGCGTGAATAATTTCCTTGTCCTTGTTTTAATCTCTTACTAGTCTTACACTAAACATGTGAATTTTAACTCCATTTTCATTGAAATATGAAGCTTTTCTTTCGAAGTTATTGTTATAAAATCTACTCAAAGATTAATAATAATAAACCAAATTAAAATTTCATAAGTTGATGATATTTAAAAAAAATCTTAATTCAAATTTATTTCAATTGAAACTTTTATTTGTAAATATTCACTGTGGTTCTAAGTCACAAATATTTTTTTAGGCTAAGGCTATGCCTACTGCCAAATTAAATGACAACTTATTATTTTTTTGTTTCAGTGTAATTCTTTCCTTGTTTTAGTGTTGAGGTTTAAACATCTTGTTTCAAACCATTTTGTGGTATCATGTCTGACTTGCTTCTTATCATGTCTGACTTGCTTCTTATCATGTCTGACTTGCTTCCTAAATTTTTTTTATTAACTTGAAAAAAAAAAAGTACAGAAACAGAATTTAAGTTTCTTTTAAGTTTTTCCAAATTTTAAAAAATTATTCCAAAGATGGGTCATAAACCCCCAAAGCTTGGGCATTTTCACAAGGTCTGATAGTGCTGTGTAATTTCACTTAGCACATCAGTTCATCTGCAGAGCATATCCAGACTCTCTTTCTCCTGTAATATGTACAAATAAAAGTAATAGTCTAACAGGTTTTTATAGAGCCTTGCCCCACAATTTTTTCCCTTAAAGAAATTCAGCAGATTTAAGTACATATGGAAACAAAAGAACAGCACCAAAAAACTATGGGCAAAGGAGAATTTACTGGCTAAGTCATAATGCGTGGCTAAAAAAATCTTTTACTTTATAACTTGTAGCACAAAATATGAGCGCCCTGGTCGGCTTGAACTTATCTTGAAAACAAGCCTTTGAGAAACTCACAACTCACCGAACATTCAGACTGGTTTAAAGACACACAAGAAAAGAGACAGTTGGTTTTATTGTATTAACTTAAAACTTTTATTGGAATACATGAGGGAAACGAAACATGAAAAAGATCGGACAAATGAATTGAGTAACGGACTGACACAGAAAGTTGTACATTCATGGAGGTTTGGGGATCATCGAGACGAACTAACATTGTCAACAAGCTAGTGATTTCATAACGCTGAAAAAATTTGCTTATAGTTTTTAAAAAATCGATAATTTGTCATGTTAATAGTAACCATTAATGGCAACGTGATAACCAATTAACACATTTCAACAACTAAAAAGATGTTTGAAATAAATATTACGCTTATTTGACAAATTCAATCAGATAATTAGTAAGTTTTGCACAGATTTATGAATAAAAAATTAAGAGCTTCAATGACAAAAAATGTATCCTATCAGAATTAACCAGCGTGCCCCCCCCCCCACCAACCCCCCAATATTGTCACAAATTGAGTGATGTGTTATGGCATATGATGGCTGATTTTTGCTCAAATACTTTCAATGTCTTATATTTAAATTGTTTTAGTTTAAAAATGTTCCTCTTTGTAAGAAAATTTATATATGTGCTGAAAATGAATATGTACATTGTAATTTAAAAAAATACATGTATTTGGATCAATAAAATATTCTTATCAAATCTGGCCACCTTTCTTAAAAAAGCTATACAAGAAATGTCATCATCCATTTTTTAATTAATGCTAAATATAAAGAAAACAAAAGTCACTCTCAGCTTCCATAAAGAAAACAAAAGTCACTCTCAGCTTCCATAAAGAAAACAAAAGTCACTCTCAGCTTCCATAAAGAAAACAAAAGTCACTCTCAGCTTCCATAAAGAAAACAAAAGTCACTCTCAGCTTCCATAAAGAAAACAAAAGTCACTCTCAGCTTCCATAAAGAAAACAAAAGTCACTCTCAGCTTCCATAAAGAAAACAAAAGTCACTCTCAGCTTCCATAAAG